TCTATCCCTTCGTCCAGGTCATTCCCATCCCCCACCCTGAGACAGCAGATTGTAGTGTCTTACTAGCACACCATCCCACATGCACCGGCATGCTGTGCACGGGCTCCTCTCTGGCCAGTCCAGTCCTGTCCCCTTCCCCCTTCGAATCTAGTTGAAAGACCTTTCTATGAACTCTTCTAATTCATGTGCGAGGATCCTTTTTCCCCTTTGAGGTAGCTGAACCCCATCTGTTGCCAGTACACCTGATGCTGTGTAAACCTCCTGTGATCAGGAAACCCAAAATTCTGTTGGTGGCACCAGCTTCTAAGTCATGTGTTAATCAGATGTGTTTTCCTGTTTCTTTCAGTATACTTCCCTGCCACTGAAGGGATTGAGGAAAACACTACCTGTGCTCCCGATCCTGCAACCAATCTTCCTAATGACCTGAAGTCCTTTTTTAATTGCTTTTAGACTTTTCTCTGTAATCTTGCCACTACCAGCTTGGATGACCAAAAACGGATAGTAGTCTGAGGGCTGCACCAGACCAGGAGGTGTCCTACTGATATCCCTAACGCAGGCCCCAGGGAGACAGCAGACTTCCCTGTGGGAGGGATCTGGTTGACGTACAGGGCCCTCAATTCCACTCAGAAGGGAATCATTACCATGATTACTCTCCTTCTTTTCTTGATTGAACTATTCCTAAGGTGTGGGGGTGGCTGAGTCACCCTGGATGTCTTCCTGGGTGGACTTCCCTTTACATCCTCATTCACCTGGCCCTCAATTTCCAAAGCCCTATACCTGTTGTGCAGCGGTAACTGGGGAGGCAAGGGAGGCCAGCACGAGATTCACCTGCCTCTCTGAGGAGGGACCTGTTTCTGCTCTCCCCCATCTCTTAGGTTCCCTCCTCTTACTTGGTGGCAAGAGGATAGGGGGTCCTATGGCATAAACTGTCATAATGCTTCCCAACTACTGTCCACAGAATAGTGTGATTTATTACAAACTGTCCTACCATGTTTTTAAGACCTAATTGGCCCTTCACAGAAACTAGTCGTTTTATATACGTGAACAGTAGTCATGATACCTGAAGCTCTGGGGTTTTGTCTTGCCTCCCAAGTTGTGGAACCTAGTGCAAAGCTGCTTTAACTAGCTAAACTGATCTTTCGTTTGTATCCTCAATCTTTTCTGCCCTGTTAGGATCACACTTTTCAGAGCCTGGTTAGCCAGTGGTCTGCCATTACCTGTGCAAAATGACTATACAGCCCGGAAGAGGGGCTTCCTTATTACATCCACCTTGGCTATTTAGGTTGAGCACCTGGCTCTGGATTTCTTAGATTGCTTTTGCTTTCTCTGTTGCATGGTATTTTCACAGGGAGATACTAAGCTTGGCTTCAGAGAATTCAGTCATGCCTAAGCCAGAGTGGATTTTTGTGGGTTCTTCCACAGGTTGTGAGTTTAAAATGATTCTGTGAATCATAACTTGATTTTCATATAGTGAATTTTTCTGCCTTTTTTTACCAAATGATCTAATATAATCTATGTTTAGATGCGCGATCATCAGAAACTAAAAGTGAATGCTGTATGTGCGCCTGCTGAATCATGTGCTGAAATCTTACCTTTGAGACCTATCGAAGAATTACAGTATGTATCAGATTGTATTGGTGGGGAATGGTTTTAAATGCAATGTTTTGGTGTTGTTGCTACATACTAGAATTTTCTACGCAAATCAAATTTTAATTAATGAGTTCTGTGTTAGCAGGACTTGTTTATGATCCTTCAGTAACTTCAGCTTGCTTACCTGCCAAACTTTATTTCTGATGCATGCCTTTTTTTCCTCCTTTTCAGCCGATACGGATTTTTCTCATATTTACGAGAGTTATTTGATGCTCCTCATCCTGTGATGAGTTATCTTTGCTCCCAGTACCGAGTTCATGACGTCCCTGTGGGAACAGAGAAGACCAGAAACATGATTGAAAGGGTGAGGTGTCCTAAACAGCACAAACGCACCTGTGGTCTAGAGTTTTATTTCAGAAATTCTTTGGCAAGTTAATGTGGAGAAAGCAGAAAATTGCTTTACCTTTTATTTGGCCTTTAGAAGTAAAAGCAGTTAATCTTATGTAAACATAATGCAAGACATTGTAACAAATCTAGTCAATCTAATGCAGTACTTCCCAGGAAATTAAATACGTCTTTCACCTGCATGCTGTTCCAAGTCAGTTATATGAAGTTATTTTATTATAACTTCTACTTTAAGTCCCTGAGATATTCTGGGCAAAATTTTAATCAAACAGTTAGTAGTACATGGCAATACTGGCCTGTTGTGTTTAAAGCAACAGTTAGAAGCTGCTGCTTTTTTTTTTTTTACATGTTTAGATGTTCAGTTTCTGGCAAATACGGTTGTATAGGTTCAGTCAGAACTGATGTGATAAATACTATAAAAACCTTTTGGATTCTTGGAAATAGGCTAAGAGCTCCCACTAGGAGTAATCTCCCTACTGTAGTCTTTCATGGGTGCTTGCAAAGCTCCTAATTTCTGAATTACAATGGGTAACAGATGACAGTTTTCAACTTTAATCCTTATTCACTTCTCTGCCTATGCTAGACAAGTGTTGTCTGTCTTGTACAGAGAGTGAACTCCTCTTTGAATTCAGATGACTACTTTAGGCTCTCTGAGAACAAAAGTTGCTTCTTTGAGAACCTCAGTGAACAAAATAGAGAACTGTTCTTGTTTTACTGAGATAGCTGTTGCTCCTTCCTGTCTTCTGTGTTTCCGAGGTTCTAAGAATGAGGAAGAGGAAAGTAAAAGTGAAGGGAGCCCTAAATGCCAAGCTCTTCTGTTAATGTTTCTTTTTTTTTGCATTCATCTATAAACTGTCATTCTTCCACCACTCTGTGTTTATAAAGTGATGAAGCAGATTACCTCTGTAATAGGTCTTTGAGTTACATTTGTAAACCAGTCAGAATTCCTCTTTAGATACTTAGTCATTTCCAGAGCTCTGTGGGTAGCAAGTGAAAAATTGCTGGTCTAGGGGCAAAGGTGAGCCACTATTCTAAATGTGGTGCACATAGCACTTTCTCAGTTCAGTTGTGTAAAGTTTTGTGGGTTGGTTTTTTTTTATTATTATTATTTTTTATTGAGAAATGCATTCTTTGTAACATTTTGTTTCACACGTGCCAGGGAAAGCTTTAGTTTAAAAGGAGACCTGTTATAGATAGATGAGAGTGTGGAAAAGGACTAGGATGGAAATGTCAGCAGCCACAGTCTCAGCAAAGTAAACATGGTTTTCAGTGTCCAGGAACCAAATCAGCAAAATATTGCTGGTGCTGTGTATATAAACTGAAAAAAATCTTTAGTTGAATTTATGTTGTCCTGTAGAGGCTTTTTGCTGTTGTAGGCTTACTGGACACCTTATATCCCTTTGAAGTACTATACTACCTTGTGTTATGGTAAATCTATGGTATTTATAATACCTTTTTGACACGAGCCTCTTTTTTTTTTTTCTCTACGGGTACATTTGGTTCACTGAAGTTCATGCATTACAGCTCACTTAGGGTTTCGTCTTTCAATTTTTGAAGTACTTCTGGTTCTTTCTTACACAGGCTATATTTGCATGTTATGCATCCATAGAAACTGCAATCTTTTTTCATGATGCTGTACAAATACACAGGCAGTATAAAACAACCAGATTTTTCCATTGTCTCTCTGTAATATCAGAGTCATAGAATGGTTTAGGTTG